CCCCCGCCCTTTAGACCACATTTGACCTTACTTCCTTACTTCTGGGATGCCTTCTCTGGCCACTGGAGAGTGCACTGTGCCTGTTCTGTGTGTTCTGTGATTCCTTATGTGTGCTACCATTGTAGCAGTGATCATAACTGTTTTCTAATCCATCTCTTCTGATCTACTGTTTTTTAGTGTGGGACTCTCATTAGACTGCTAGTCTGGGGGAGGGCAATGGAGGAGTCTTATTCACAGTTGAATCAATACAATTTTTTTGATTCAACAAATGTTTTCACTTTGTGTGTGTGCGTGCGCACACACACACTCAGACATTTGTGTATCTTCCAGAGTACATAGCACAGTGCTGGGTATAGAACATATGTTTAATACATGCTTGTAGAATAATAAATACTTGTTAATCTAACTTGAGTTCTTTGGTTGGTTTACAGTTTTATGTATGGGGAACTGACTGATAAAGACACAGTTGAAAAGGTGCGACAAACATTTGAGAACTATGAGATGAATTCCTTTGAAATTTTGATGTACAAGAAGAACAGTGAGTATTCAGACCATTCTGAACCACACCTTTACGTGTCTGAAATTAGTAAAATATCTCCTCTTCCTCTATTGCCATTTTGCTTTTTCTCCTCTCCCATTAGGTAAATTGTTGTTACTTGAAGCCATTGTGTATGTTGGGATAAACCATATGGATTGATCAGTTACACTGCTCCTCACAGGAACATTTGATGAGGTTCCTGTCACTAACCAATTAAGACTTCTTCATTTACTTTTTTGCCAAGAGTTAGTGTTTTTCCTGTTGGTTTGCTTATAATAAGTTGCTACTATAAGGTACTTGTAGACTTTAAGCTTTCTTAAAGGGAGAGGACAAAGGCAGAACAGAACTTTTGCCCATTTGCCTTTGTATCTGTCTTTCACAGCATCTAGCACAGCAAGTAACACCAGTAGGTATTCAATTAAAAGTTTCTGAATGAAATTTTGTTCTCCTAGTAACTCTATGAAATAGTATTAACTACAATGCATTGTTAATTTGTGTTTGTTTTGGCTACATTACTTCCACAAAGTATGTCAGCGAGCTTTTTAGGTCATTAGCCATACACAAGTATAAAACTTGCTTTTCCCTTAGGAATTTTCTTTCTTTTGAATGGAGATCAGCTATATTAGAGGTACGGAAAGTAGAATATATGACCAAGCAAGGCTGCCGAGGTGTTAATAGTGCTTTGTTTCTCTTTTGAAAACACTATATTTCTTTGTAGGGAATTATGTTTTTTATATGTAGCCTTGACTGATAGGTAATTGGTTCAATTGACCATTTCTGGAGTGGACCAGATGGCACATGATGATCAATGCTCTTTTGGTAGCATTAATTTGAGTGATATGTTTTGCTCTGGAAAGCAAAGGGCACATGCTGCTTTTATCTGGAAGGAACTGGGACTTTTTCTCAGTCTGGAGTGTTGGAGTAGGCAACTGAGAGGACTATTTGCTTGGTGGCCTGTGCAGATGCTGATCTGATAGATATGCACTGGCCATCCACAAGCCCAAGAGAGTTGTTCCTGCAGGTTTCACACTGGCATTGTTGCCTTGCTCCAGCTCACTCCCTCTGCCAGTACATCTAATTATCACCTTGCTATTGACTGGAGGAGGATTGAGGTAAAAGACTATGAAGGGCTTCATGCCAGTCCTCTACTATAGGGGAGCACAACTCAAAGCAACAGCTCTTACCCAGAGCATACTGGCAGTGGCCATCTCATGGTCTGCACATGTGTCCTGAGCTAATGGAACAAGTTAAAGATTTTCCACACTGGCAGCTTTGTGTGGAACAGCATGAATTTCCCCATAACACAGAACACTAATTTGATAGGCGTATCACATGAAGAATCCCTTGCATTTATATTTTGCTTCAGAGTTTTCAAGCTTTATTAGACATGCATTTAACTTGCCCTAATTTAACTATATATGTTTGGCACAAAAAGGAGAGAGAGGAAAACATAATTTAAATTGTGTTCATGATTTCATTTGCCATTCCCTTTAGTATGTGCCCCAGAATGAGTATGAGGTAAGGGAGGAAAATGTGTCATGTCACAGCTGCCTTTGTCATTGAAGGCCCTGTGTTTTGAGTATCTCACTGCACTGAAAGTGATTCTGATATTTGAAGTTCTGTACTTTAGCTAGACGTGAGCTATCCATATAAGTCAACTGGTCCAAATAAGCATGTCTTCCTTCCCTGGAGGTTATGGTGGGCTTATTGAGGGATGAATGACAGTCTCCAAGGTGGCAGGTCATCCTTAGCATGGTACTCTACTTTATGGGTGATATTAAAGCATTTTTCCAGAGTAATTGTGGCCATACCCAATTTTTACTTTAGCCTTTAACTTTAAGAAATATAAGTTTTCTGTAAGGTATGACTGCTCTATTTTAAAATTTTATTCTCTAAGCCCTGTGAAGTAGGCAAAGTTGAAAGTTACATTCCTCATTCAAGGTCATCAGGGTTTGTTCTATGGCCACTTTTTTTCAGGCTAATTGTGGGTATGAGGAAGGACTACCACATATGGTCATGCAGGCTATGCCCTACAGAGGAGCAAGTGGAAGAGTCCTAAAGAGATAGCACCCCCAAAAAGCAGCTATCAGAGCACAAACAATGGAAATCCATCAGAACAACCTGCCCCAGATGACAGTCACAGAAATCAGAGATTGGATGGTTAAAATGAACAGAGAGAACTGAGAGAGATTAGAAATGAAATTCACCAAAGTAAAATCAGAGTTGGCCAATTTCAAGAAAGTCTATACTGAAATAATGAAAATGAAGAACTCCATCCTGGAAATAAAAAATACAGTAACAAGAACAGGGAGCAGGATCAACCAAGCAGAGGAAAGAATCTGAACTTGAAGACCAATATATGGAATTAACCCAGTCTGTCAAAAAAAAACAAAACTCAGAAAGAAGGAGCAATGCCTCCAGAAGATGTGGAACTATGTCAAGATATCTGATTGGTATCTCTGAAGCAGAAAGGGAAACTGAGAACACCATGGAACAAACATTCCATGAAGTCATCCAAGATAACTTGCTAGAGTGGCAAGATCTTGCTAGAGTGGCAACTATTCAAATGCAAGAGATTCAGAGAACTCCTGCAAAGAGACTCAGAGAACTCCTGCAAAGTATCACATGAGAAGACCATCCCCAAGACACATAGTAATCTGCCTGAACAAAGTAAGCATGAAAGAAAGAATTCTAAAGGCAGCAAGAGAGAAAAGTCAGACTACCTACCAGGGAAGACACATCAGAATCATGCCAGTCTTATCTGCAGAAACACTACAAGCCAGAAGGGACTGGAGTCCAATTTTTAACATCCTTAAAGATAACAATTCCAGCCAATAATTTCCTACCCTGCCAAGCTAAGCTAAGCTTCATCGGTGATGGAAAATTAAAATCCTTCCCAGAAGTTCAGTCCATAAGAGAATATGCTGCCTTCTGACCAGCCTTTCAGGAGACACTTAAGAAGGTATTGAACACAGAAAAAAAAAGAATGGTCATATCCATCACAAAAGTACAGGGAAGCACAGAGTTAACAGAGCATACAAAGCACTCACAAAAATAAAAATACACACATATATAAATACAAAAGTTAGAAAAGGAAACAAAGCAACTCCCTAAGAATCCTAGGACATGGATAAACCCTCATATTTCAATAATCAATTTGAATATGAATGGACTAAATGCATCACTGAAAAGATATACAGTGGCAAACTGGATAAAAAAGCATGATCCAACAACAGTTTGCTGCCTCCAGGAACTCATCTCACTACAAAGGACACCCACAGTTTCCAGGCTCAAAGTTGGGGCCTGGGAAAAGGTCTTTCAGGCAAATGGAAAACAGAAGAGAGCAGTTGTAGCTATTCTGATATTAGACAAAGCAGATTTCAAACCATCAAAAGTTAAAAAGGACAAGAAGGACACCACATAATAGTAAAAGGCTCAATTCACTAGCAAGAAATATCCATCTCAAACATATATGCACCCAACACAGGAGCACCAGGTTTTATAAAACAAATACTAAGTAAACTAAAAGAGGACATTGACTCTCACACAATCATAGTTGGAGATGTAACTCTAACAGCTCTAGGTAGATCATCAAGGCAAAAAAGCAACAAGGAGATCCAGAACCTTAACTTGATGCTCAATCAAATGGACTTAATAGGCATCTACAGACCACTCAACCCAATATCAACAGAGTATACATTCTGTTCATCAGCTCATGGAACATACTTCAGAATCAATCACATTGGTGGATATAAATCAAGCATGAACAAATTTAAAAACATCAAAATAATGTGCATTTTCTCAGATCACAGTGAATAGAAATGAATATTATCAACAACAAGATCCCCCCAATGGACACTTTAGTGTCCAACTTGCTACTGAACAACTTCTGAGTTAACACAGAAATTAAGACAGAAATAAAAAGATTCCTGGAAGCAAATGAAAACAAAGACACATCTTATCAGAACTTCTAGGTTACCATGAAAAGAGTGCTAAGAGAGAAATTCATAGCATTGCATGCACACATCAACAGAAAGATTATAAGTAAACAGCCTAACGTCACACTTAAAAGAACTGGAAAGGCAAGATCATCTAAATCCTAGCTTCAGCAGAAGAATCTAGTTCACCAAGATAAAATCACAAATGCAGGATATAGAAGACAAAAATATTATAGAAAGGATCAATGAGACAAAAAGCTGGTTCTTTGAAAGGATAAAAAAGATTGATGGACCCTGGCCAGATTGACTAAAAAACAAAGAAAGAGAGAGAGAGAGAGAGAGAGAGAGAGAGAGAGAGAGAGAGAGAGGCGGAGTCACAACTGACTCTGAAGAAATTCAAAGATTATCAGAGATTGCTATGAACAACTGTTTGCAAATAAATGAGAAAACCTAAAGGAAATGGAGGACTTTCTGATATCACACAGCCTTCCAAGATTGAAACAAGAAGAAATTGAAACTTTAAACAGACCAATAATAATCCAGGAAATTGACTCAGTCACAGGAAATCTCCCTGCCAAAAGAAAAAAAAAAAAAAAAAAAGCCTCAGACCAGATGGCTTCCCAACTGAATTCTACAAGACATAAAGGAGGAGCTGATACCAATCCTACTGAAAGTATTCCAGGCAATCGAGAATGAAGGAATTCTTCCCAACTAATTTTATGAAGCTGACATCATATTGATCCTCAAACCTGGCAAAGACCCAACAAGGAAAGATAATTACAAGCCAATCTCCTTGATGAACATAGATACAAAAATTCTCAACAAGATTCTAGCAAATTGGATCCAACAACACATCTCAAGGATTACTTACCAGGTTGACTTCATTACTGGGATGCAGGACTGGTTCAACATTCACAAGACCATAAATATAATTCAGCATATTAACAGATGTAAAACCAAGAATTACATAATTATATCATTAGATGCAGAGAAAACATTTTACACAATGCAGCATCCCTTCTTGATTAAAAGCCCTTGAGCACCTAGGCATAGAAGGAACAT